CTGTGTGGACCATAATTAACTGTGAATAACCTTAAGCAGCATGAGCTTTTCAGAACACTTCACTGTTCTCAGTCTGAACTTGCACATGGATCAAGAGCACTTGTGGGAACAGAACCAGGAAATGCTTTATATTTTAAAATCAGGAAAGGTATGTGTCAGGACTGTATCTTTGTACCACGATTAGCCAATCTATATGCTGCACAAATCATCAAATAAGCTAGATTATGTGAAAAGTGTAGCATCAGATTGGAGGAAGGCTTATGAACAACCTGTGATACCAGATGACACAACCTTGCTTGCTGAGAGGGAGAACATGAAGCATTGCTGAGGAAGATCAAGGATTGTAGCCTTCAATATGGATAACAACTCAATGTAAGGAACATCAAAGTCCTCAAAACTGGACCAATAGTTAACATCATGATAAACTGAGAAAAGGTTTTTGTTCTCAAGGATTTTGTCTTACTTGGATCCACAGTCCAAGTTCATGGAAGCAGAAGTCAAGAGATCAAAAGAGTAATGCATTAGCTAAGTCTGCTGCACAAGACCACTAAAGAATTGAAGAGCAAGGGTGTAATTGTGAGGACTAACATGCATATAAGCCTAGACATGTGTGTTAGTCTAGGTACTTTAGAGAAGCAAATCCACAGAAACTCATGTATAAAAGAGAGTTTTATATAAAGGGTAAGTGTGCATCAAGAAAACATCCCAACCCAGTGCTGACCAAGCCCACAAGTCCAGCATTAACTCATATATCCCACACCAATCCACAAAGCCCTCCTCCATCTCACAAAACACACACAATGATGCTGACTACAGGAAGAAAGTCAAATCAGTGAACGTGTAAGCATCTTAGCACTGGTAGGGGTCTCCCCACTGCTGCTCCAGCACTCAGGGCTGCATTGGTGTAGGTCCATGTGGTTGCTCCTCAGGGATGTCTTGCAGGAAGGCAGCTGTACCCTGGTCCAACTATCACAAAGTAAGAGACTCAAAAACTAGAAAGGCAAGGCTCACTGAGCCATTGATCTCTCGGCCCTTCAATTAACCCCACATGTGTTTATCAGACAGGTTGGCACAATAACATGGCACAATAACTACCTCAACATGGAACTTTCAATAACCTCATATGCATGTGAAAGTCGGACATTGAACAAGGAAGATAGTACAAGAGTGAATGTATTTGAAATGTGGTCCTGGAGATGAATATTTAAGTGTCACAGATTGCTAAATGGACATAAATTCTTTATTGAGAGAAGGAAAACTAGAGGGCTCCTTAGAGGCAAGGATGGCAAGACTTTGTCTTACATCATTTTGGATATAGTCAGGAGAGAATGTAAAAGCGAAGAGTGGCAAAACAGAGGAAGGCCTTCTGAGAGATGTTGACACAGTGCTGCATCAGTGGGCTCATGCATACGAACAATTGTGAGGATGGCACAGGACTGTGTAATGTTTTGTGTTGTTGTGCATATTTCACTATGTGTTGGTGCTACTTAATGACACCTAACAAAAATAAGACCTTTTTTTCCCTTGATACTCGTTAGTTGTTGATATAGCAATGCATTATTAATCAAATATAAGTCCACATAGATTTGTATCCACCCAAAACAGAAGCAAAATATTAAACATCTTCTGCTAGTGTTAGATTCTGTTGAATCAATTCTGTGCCCCTTTGTACCACAGAATGAACCACTGCTCCATCTTGTGGCCTCCTCAAAATGGTTCTTAAATTTGAACTCACTGTCAAAAACTGCATCAGTCCATCTGGTTGAAGACCTTTCTCTTTTTCAGTGCTCCACACCTGGACTAATCATATCCTTTTCCAAGGACTGGTCTCTCCTGCCAGACAATGTCCAAAATACATGAGAAGAAGTCTTCCCATCCTTATTCTAAGGAGCAAGTTAGCTCTATTTCTTCCAAGACAGATTTGTTGGTTCTTT